GGGCAAATCAGTCCTAATATATATGTGCAGGTCGGTCATTTGGGAACGTTTTGCATCTTGAGAGCACTTGCTGTCAAGGCATGACACTTGACATCAAAAGGCTGCAGTCTTTTCTTGGAGTTGACCGAGGCTATCAGGAGATCTCCAGACCCACGCTCAAAATAGTTTGTCTGAAGTCCTGGGGATAATATTATTTATATCAATTTGAATGAGGGGTTTTCTTCGAAACAAATCATTTCCTTTTCCCTCGCTGGCAAATGAGATAAATTATTATAAATAACGCAATTATGTTCAAGGATATTTAGCTTCCTCGTGTGTTAGGGTGACCACACTGGCGATAAAATTTGGATTACAAAATTTCTTGAACCTGTTTGAATGCTGCGTAACTATTGGTCAATAGGATCTGGAATATAGAGCCGGTGCGAAACCTTTCCAAAATCATACTTCAAAAAAAAAATTGTATGCCGCCCGTTTTTTTCATTTTACTCCGGTTTTTGATATATTAATGACACCAAGCAGTTCCTGCAACTGTCGTGATTTTTTTTTCCATTGACTTTCACATATTACCTGAATTTACAAATGCAATCGAGGCTAACCGTCATATGTTGAGCTACTGCATTGGTTAAGAATAGGAATGTCACTAGCACTACCTGCACCTGGCGCAGGCAATGTATCAATTCCGCTCGAGGCCGTGGAAGCCAGATGTGCAGGCTCAAATTCACAAACGGATACCAGGAACATGAAATCGTACATCGAAAGCGATGGACCTGTGTCGTGCTTGGAGAAATGTATCAGAGAACCCAGTTGTTGCGAATGATTAGAAAGCCGCGGAGTATTGTAGAGTGATGATACGTCACTTTACTGAGCGATAGTAACTTGCAAATGTGCATAATCCCGGCTTCAAAAGTCGCCAGTTTCCCAAGTACAACGCCTGGCCAAATGAAACGATATCCAAAAGAAATGCAACGATTTCAACAACCGGTACCGTAAATGCACGAATCCACCGATTAGCAGGTTCTCCGAAGGCGATTACCTAAACTTAGCTCACAGACGATATATGTGTGAACCAAGGTACAAGCAGCTTATGGCAGTATTTAATATATATGAAAAATTGTATTCAAGAAAGAGAGTGAGGCCGATAAATTGTTGAGTCCACACCACCAGACGAAGACAATAACGAGGACTTATTCGGAGAGGAACCAAAGTTTGAAGACTGGAAGTTAGCCCGGTGCTGGAAGATTATTTCCGAATCTCCAAAGGTTGGGCAACCACCCATTATGTATTTATATGTGAAGTTATATCTAATAATATACGAGTGTTTACATTATACTTTAACTTGTATAAGCTGACCTAGCTTCATTAATCTGATATCAGTATTCTATTTTATTTCCGTGTTGCAAAAAAGGTATTGATATCCGCGGAAGCTCCGTCACAAAATCACTAAAAGTCGGCCAACACCGGACACAGTAAAAAAAAGCCAAAAAGGAGAAGGGGATGACTGCCGAAGGAAAAACTTTGATCTATGATTTCATGGACGAATCTATGCCTTGACTGTTTTGAAAGATAATGCACGGGTACATTCTATTTATTTCACGAAGAATGTGAGATCGAACATGCACACATACCCTCGCCCCCAACATACGCACGATCCCCTGTCCCCAACATACACGTGTACACACACAAACACACATACCCTTCTCCGACACTTTCTACGCGATACCATTGAAACAATTTCGGATAAACTAGAGTCTCGCCCTAAGCTAGATGAGCACATCAGACTGTAAGTCAAACCCTACACACTACGAGAGAACAATAACACAATACAACAATGTAATAGTGTGATGGAGGGTAAACATCGCGAAGAGGTAAGTGTGTGTAATAAAAAATAGCTCTTCCCGTATACGGAACAATATGAGTTAATAACAAACAAACAAATATCCCCGGTGAAATACGTACAACCACAGCAGTAGCTATACAAATGAAGGAGGAACTATTCGTTTTTACACACGTACCTCTTCGCGATGCTGAACCTCCAACATAATATTACGTTGTTGTAATTTGTCGATGTTTTCATGTAGTGTGGAATTTCCATCCTGCAGTGTATTGTGCTCCTTTAGATTAGGGCGAGGCTTTAGTACATCGCGTAAAGCATCGTTTTCCGCAGCGACAGCCAAGGTCCCATAAGTAGTTTGCAATTAATGAATGAATACGGAACAGATATAGACAATATGAGGGGAGAACAAAATCTAATATCTTCTGTGAAATACGTACAACCACAGCAATAACAATACAAATAAAAGAACTTTTTTAATTACTTACCTCTTCGTGATGTTTTCCTTCCCACCCATTGTTACGTTGTTGTAATTTGTTGTTGTTTTCCCGTAGTGTGCAATTTCCATCCTGCAGTATAATGCGCTCTTCTAGATTAGGTCGAGACTTTTAGTTCATCGCGTAAAGCATCGTTTTTAGCCGCAGTGAGAGCCAAGTTCCCATAAGTAGTTTGCAACTAATGAACGAATACGAAACAGATACAAACAATATGAGTTGAAAACAAAGAGTCTACTATCCCCTGTGAAATATGGACAACCACAGCAATACCTATACAAATGAAGTAAGAATTGTTTCTTTTTTTGCATACTTATCTGTTCCCGATGTTGAACCGCCATCATAATATTATGTTGTTGTAATTTGTGTTTGTTTTCTCTTAATGTGCAGATCTCATCCTGCAGTCGTATGTACTCCTCTAGACTAGGGCGAGACTTTCAGTTTATCACGTAAAGCACCGTTTTCTGCCGCAGTGACATCCAAGTTCCCGTAAGCAGTTTTCAACTAATGGCGATTACAGAATAGATACAAACAATATGAGTAGGAAACAAGAGTCCAATATCTCGTACAGCTTTAGTACTTCCTCCTTAAGCAAGGGGTGTTAGTACTTCATTCTTGAGCAAAGCTTGTTCGTTCAGTGACCTGTCCAGATGCTTTTGCATAAATCCACATGTGGTTCAGTCAAATAGAACTGAATGTGACTTCAGCCACACATTTGTCAGAAACACAGACGAATACATAAACATATGTATTGTCGGCAACAACACACTTGTGCTTGCTGCTCCGCCTTCAAATAATTACTGACTTCGAGTAAACTACGGTTAATCATCTTCAAGTTCTCGATTTTGATATCACGGAGAGAGAGCGGTTGGCTGGCGTATCCCAACTCCAGTTCTTGCTCACAAGTATACCCGCTAATAGGAGTTGTTTCATCCTGCACGGCTGAGGAAGTCAGTTTCTGCCATGGATCAAGCTGCAGCCGTTAAGATGGAAAAGAGAAAAAAGTCGTTGGCGTCCATTCAGTTTATGATCGGTGTTTCGTGTTGATCACCGAACTTCCTTGTTTGTGTAGAATGTTGTGTTCCCCATTTTTATCTTTTGAGTTTACATACCTTGTCGTAGACAGAGGGAGTTGGTCAGAAGAAAAATGATTAAGGAACGTGCTGCAGAAAAGGCAAAAGAAGAAGTCAAGTAAGCAGCAAAGTCTCCGACTAAATTTTAGAAAGAGACTAAGGAGCTCGACGACCTATGAAAACAGACTAGTAAGTTAATGCCTACGAAATCTGTGAAAGTACTAGTAAAAAGCAAGTCGGATCGTCTGCGGAAACTAATATATTAATACAGACTCTAAGAAGAAAATCTCTTTACCTCTGAATCCAGAGCAAGCTGAAAAATTGAAATCAGCTGTGCATGACTGGTCAAAAGAAATTTCTGATGAAGATATTCTAAAAATCTCTGAAGATGCGTCAAGAGAGAACAGGTATCAAATAAACATGAAACATATCACAACCTGTCCGAGCGTGTTTTCACACCATGGACATTGTGTCTGTCGTCAGCTAAGCTCAGTTTTTTACCGGGATGTTCTTCCACTCGGTCTTTAAATGTATATCAGGTTTTATTGTGGATTTTGAGTCATGTTCTCAGGCTGGCCCCTGGGGGGGGGGGGGTTGTTATGTGCATGACTCAGGGGCACATTTCAGGACTCATTTATAATACTCCGGGAAGAAACGACAGGGTATCAAAATGGAATATGTGACGTCAGATTTTACTTCCCAATGAAGGACTGACTCGGAAAGACTGTAAAATGGACAAGGCAATACGACAATATATCGACTCTTACTGGATGCCATTTTATAGGTGTCTGTTGGGTGAGATAGTGAAGCTAGAAAGTAAGGACAGGACTGTAGATTAAGCTTGTAATAAACTTATTTGTTATTCCAAAAAGAAAGTAAGATGAACACGAGAAGTATAAATAGCCAGGTTAGGTATAAAACCTAATTTGAGAGAAGTAAGTGTTCAGAGAAAAACATATATTTTACTAAAAACTAACATAAGGAGGTTTTGGTCAAAGCAAAAGAGTTTTCTCTGAACTCGTTTTCCCAAGACCTAACAATTGGGTGAGATAGTGAAGCTAGAAAATCTTAACCTTATAAGGACAGGACCGTAGGTTAAGCTTGTAAAGAAACTTATCTGTTACTCCAAAAGGAAAGTAAGATGGACACGCGAAGTATAAATAGGTTAGGTATAAAACCTAATTTGAGAGGAGTAGTGTTCAGAGGAAAATAGGTATTTTACTGAAAACGAACATAAAGAGGTTTTGGTCAGAACAAAAGAGCTTTCTCTGAACTCGGTTGCCTAAGACCTAACAAAGTTTTATCTTGAGTACAGAACCGTATTCCATTTCTATATTAATTATACATTCTTTTCTATATTAAATAGAAATAAATGTATTTTCTTTTTCTTTCAAACATAAAAATCATAAACAGTGTGTTTCAGTGTTTCTATTGACAAATCGGAAACAAAATTGTGTTTCCACTTTTATACCAAGAAAAGTGTAAACACAATTATTGCCCTTGTTATTATATAATTTAATCAAAAAATAAAAATGATATATTTTCACGTTTTCACGTTCAATTTTGAGCACTCAAAATGTTGAACACGAAATCCTAAACACCTAAAATGTTGAACGCATAATCCCCGAATACACAAACTCAACATTTTCGCGATTAATGTTTAACACTATAGTTGAACACACAATCCTGAATCAAGCAACGTGCGGTGAACCAACCAACCAACGTCCGGTGAAATCATACTGAGACAAAAGAAAGTATTACAAGGCAACGATCATTCTTTATATAATATAAAATAGTATTGGAATAAATAGATAGGTGGTGCTGAACTGTAAGAAGATTAGAAGACAGTTTCTGCTGCATCGCTGATATGTTCGCTTCCAGGGTGTATGGAGCGCTCTTATACTCGCTACGATTTTATGGTAAACTATTGCTACACTGGACCGCCCTTCAAAAACTTTAGGGACTTGAACGAAGCACCTTGATGGAAATTTTGGTCGCATTCTAGTTTACTGTCAGCCAATGAGACCAGTTCCTCACTTGTGAAAGTTTTCGCGCAAAAATGTTTTCTTCTTGTTTAGTCAGTCTCTGAAATTTTCTGACTCAGGAAAAATTATACATCGAAAAAAGGTTACTCAAAATAAAAGTAAATTATACCAATAAGAGAGACTCTATTTTATATTCTAATATAAATTGCCGATGGCGAGCTGGGTGTAATGGAAAATTTCACAACCTTTTGTTTGTTGTGATCACTTCTAAACTCACACTAAGCGATATGTCCTTGCCAAAATAGCTGGAAACTACAATACAATGTAGCGTAGCATTATGTCCTACTGAAATATTTATGCCATGCTCCGC